TATATTATAATATATATATATATATTATATATAATATAATATTATAATATATATATAGTATTATATAATATATAATTATAATAATACTTATAAATATATTTTCTCATTTAATCTTACCCCACAAATGTGTTTACCCAATGTTTCTTACAGAACGATGAAGATTTCGAGCAAGCAACTGTTAGTGTTGAATCGGGAAGGAAACAAACCAACGGAGAAAATGGAGACGAAGAGGAATCTGTATCACCGAAAAAACATGCTATTATCAGACTTCTAGGTAGCAGTTGTTCGAGGCATAGCAGATCATCGTCCATTAGCAACGTAAATTCGACTGGTATATCTACGGCAACTTCTACTCCTTACAGTACATTAGGAAGATCCTTCAGGAAAGTATCAGTCTGTTCGCGTGACAGTTATGCAACTAAGATATCAACCATAAGTGTTTGCAACAGTTGCGAGAAACTTCACGACGAGTTTCAATTCGTCTCAGAAGCGGCGTCAGTTATCGGGGCTACAAATCCAAGTACTATGGCTAATACACCTATCAGTACACCGAAAATCATCAATCTTCAACGTAGACGCGTTAGAAGATATTCAAGCTGCGATTTGGAAAGTTTTTACGAAAGTATCAAAGTTTTGGATTCTTACCTAGCTCGTAGATGTTTGTCGTCCAATCAACCACCACGCAGACAATCAACTATTGCCGTTATGCTTTTTGGTACACCTGAACATTCTGGTAGACGTCTAACTGGCATTTCTAGATCAGCTGATGGAACGATACGAACTCGTACTCGTATATGGCGTTCCAACGATGATACTTTGTTCAATTGATCTCTTTCCTAGAAAAATTACTTGAGAAAATGTTTAAGAAAAAATGTTTTCTCTCTCTCTCTCTCTCTCTCTCTTTCTTTCTTTCTTTCTTTCTTTGTCTCTTTATTGTAATTCATTTTAATGATAAATATGAACATTTTCAAGTTTTATCGACGATATACAAAATTATTGTGAAATAAAAATATTCATGGTTTCTATAAATTTTTAATAGTATTTTGTTTTAAAATTTAAAAAAAAATTCGAATTAAATATTATATCTTTTGTTAAATCGATTATAATCTATATATACACGTTTCTCGAGGTTTCTGATAAATATGAACATCGGTGGAAATAAAGAGAATAAGAAACGTCGATATAATCTTTCTCAATAATGATATTATTCAATCTTTTTTTTTCTCCCACACAATTTTTCTTATTTATTTATTTATTATATTCTTAGGCATCCTCTCTCTCTCTTTTTATCATTAGTATACGCAAATCTTTGTAAAATGTTTTAATTAAATTTACTCAAATCTTTCTTTGAAGCATGGAATTTTCATGAATAATAAAAAAAGAAACAAAGAAAAGAAAATACCAATGCTTGCATCGAACGGAAAATTGTATTCTTATGATATTCAACATACCAAGTAAATTTTTATTTTAATTATTAGAGAATTTGCGTTATATAAAATCTATTAAAAAGGAAAAAAAAAAAAATAAAACTTCAAAGTTATATAAATATTAAAAATAATAAGATGATAGAATCATTTCGAGATATATTTTCATTTTAAATGGATAAATATACGATATTTACGTATTTTAAAAAAAAAAAGAACAAGTACTTTTAATACTACTGGCCGTGCTTCAAAGAGTAATAAATTGTTTGAGTGCAACGCTGTATGTTTGTTGTTATCATTAAATTTCACGTCGAATTAGCAACGCGTTGAAATTTATCTTTAAACTTTGATCGTTACATTATTCCAACGAAATTATATCAACGAATTCCAGACAAGTTTAAATCAGTTGATTTATATACACCATTCCGATAAACATTCTTTCATTTCGTTGGTTGGTTGGTTTGTTTTTTTTTAGGCACGTACAATAATAATAACAATTCAAAAGTTATTTGCTTTTTTTTTTTATGAGCCATACTTATCGCAATTACTATGGGATTTTAATGTTTAAAATTGTTGTTTTTTTTTTTATATTACATGCTTCCAGGACAAATGTTTTAAAAGCTTACTTATCGATTGTAATAAAATATATATGTATATATATGTGTATATAATATATATACAATGTATATGTATGTGTGTATATATATATATACATATTTAAATATATATATGTATATGTTATATATAT